TAAAATGAGCTGGAGAAAGAAATGACAGACCCCTCCAGTGCCTTTGCCAAGAAAACCCCAAATGGGGTCACAAAGAGTCAGGCATGATTCAAATTACTGAACAACAACAACATCTGTCTGTCTGACTGTCTATCTGTCTGTCTATCTGTCTGTCTGTCTATCTGTCTATCTATCTATCTATCTATCTATCTATGTATCTACCAAATATCAAAGCTCCTAGAAGCCTTCTCAATACAATCAGGGGTGAAGTAAGGATGCTCATCATCACCTCTATTATTCAATATTGTACTAGAAATGTTAGTTATAGCAATAAAAGAAGAAAAAGAAATTGAATGAATTAGAATAGGTGATGAGGAAATGAAAATATCACATTTTGCAGATAATACAATGTTATACTTAGAGAATCCTAGGGAATCAACTAAAAAACTACTGGAAATAATAGAATAGCAAAGTTGAATCGATCTCCAAGATGATGAGATTTCAGGTGATGAGCTTATTCTGGGGAAGGCATAATGTTCAAGGAGTAGAAACCAGAGTAGCTGATGGTAAGTGAAGTAAGATGGAAAAGTCTGAGCCCTTTATAAAGCAAGGCCTTGAGAAGAGTTCATTGCTCCCAAATACATAAATTAAATGTTCTCTTGATCTGACAAAAGAATTTTGCATCTTATAAAATATTTCTTCAATAATTTATCAGAAAGAGAGATAAATAGAGTGACTTTTGAATCCAGGGATTTGGGGAATATGAGGGGAGTTTAAAGATTATCTAGTTTTGTCCCTGTTTTAATGGAAGAGAACATTTTGACCCAGAGAAAATAATAACTCACTTTTCTGTATCTTGAGATGCAGCAAGTCTCAGTAAATAGAGATCCAGCCTTGAAGTCTGAAGGAGGTTCAGGTTATGCTCCTGATACATGCTAACCCTGTGACCATAGGCAAGTCACTTAATCTCTCAAGCCCCCAGGGAGCTCTTAAAAATTATGAATTATACATGAGATCTTTATCTGTGGAGAGAGTTTCTATATTGGAAGTTCTTTGCAGAGAGTAAGAAATTACTTGGTTTATCATCTGTTAGATGAGAGCATTGGATTTTATGGCTCTGAGATCCCTTCCACCTCTAGGGCCACCTTTAATGCTATGGTGATAGGTCTAGACCAATTTTTATACCTCACAGCCCTAGTAAATCAATATCATAAACAGGTGTGTGCTGGTAAATGCTTGACGATTGGCTTTCCAGGAAAAAAAAAGAGTATGAAAAACACACTTTTAAGTTTAATCTGCATTATTAAAATTTTCTCTATCACTTTCTTAAGACTAGACTGGGGTTGGCAAACTTTCTGTAAAGAGCCAGATAATAAATATTTTAGGCTTTACAGGACAAGAGATAAAATTGAAGATATTTTGTAAGTACTGATATAACAAGAGAGAAAACAAATTTCCACAAATTTTTTGATGAAATTCAAAATATAATAATAATAATAATAGATTTCCTTGGGACGGAGGTGTAATAGAGTTCAAGTGAGAAGGATGGATTTCTTTTTTTGGGGGGATAACATTTCACTTAATTTGGATTCAAAATTAGTGTTCATCATCAAAATTGATTGGAAATGTTCATCTGTTAATGCTGATCTGGAATGAGATTTTATATATTTCATCTTTGAAAATGTCTTCACAGAGATAGGTACTGCCAAATGCTAATGTCAGTCCACAAGTATATGATTTTAATTGAGCTGATAAGCTAATAGTCTTAATCAAATTTATTTTCTCTGGACTATAATCAAAAGCTAATTAACTCATCATCAGTAAATGGCTTCCCTTGCTTGGCTAACAAATAAGCCAGTGGGAAACTTTGGTTGTAGCCTTATTTTCACTTTTTGCTTTTAATTTAATTTTAATTTTTAATTTTAATTTAATTAAAAATTTTAATTTCAAGAAATTTTCCAGCCATGAGATATTCCATTGTTTTCCTGTGAGTTGGGAATATTGTGATGTCTGGTAATGTCAATGCATGTCATATTTTTTTAACACAGCTATAGTATTATTGCATAATAAGCACAATGCTTTGTCATCTAATGTGATAACGAAATAATCCACACTCCACTGTGCCTTGGAAGCGCTACATTTGAAATCCACTTTTCTCTTCTTTTCTTGTTTTGACATGATGGGTATGCACCAGTAACAGAGAAGTGTTGCTGTCCGGTGATAAGTGCAGCAATTGAAACGTTGAGATCTGAGTCAGAAAGATTGGTGATTTGTTGTGCAGGAGTGAGGGCTGAATACAGTCTCTGCCCCAACTATTTATCTGCTCCATTGTAGCAGGAAACCAGTCACTGACAATATGTAAACAAATGAGCTCAGCTGTGTCCCAATAAAACTTTATTTATGGACACTGAAATTTGAAATTCATGTAATTTTCACATCATGAAATATTCTTCTTTTGATTTTTTTTCCCCTCAACCATTTGAAAATGTAAAAACCATTCTTAGCTCACAGGTCATACAAATACAAGCTAGGGGCCAGATTTGGCCCATGGGCTGAGCTATAACTGGCTGACCCCTGGTCTAGACAATCAAAGAAATAATAACTCAAGGTCTGATTTGTAGTGTTTGCTAATTCCCAAGATGTGAACGCTCACACTGAAAATTTAACAATGAGAACCAGCAGGAGCTGGTTCCAGCTTGTTCTTGAATGTAAATTTGTTTTGGTCCTGGGGATATAAATAGAAAACATCTGTGAATTTATTGGGGGGACTCCCGGTGTGAAAGCTCCCTTCACTCATCTGTAACTTTTAGTCTTAGTGACTTCGTTAGGACACTGAGAGGTTATATCTTGTCCATGGTCACACACAGTTAGTATGTGTCAAAGACAGCATCTGAACTAGTGTATTTTTTACTCCTAAGCTGGTCCTATCTATCCATTATGCCATGTTGCCTCATAAACATTATCCCTGTTTTATTATTGAGGAAGCTGAGGTTAACTGAAACGAATGGCTTACAGTCACACAAAGTTAGTGGAAGAGTTTGGACTAGAACCCAGCCCTTCCTAACACATCTTTGCTTCCTCTAATAATGTTCTCTCATCAATGAGTAAACTGGAGTCTTATTAAATATGACTCTAGAATAGAGTCAGCAAACTATAGCTTTTGGGCCAAAACCATTCTACTGCCTGTTTTTGTATGGCCCATGAGCTAAGAATGATTTTTTATATTTTTTTTAAATTATGGAGGAAAACATTTAGTGCCAGAGGCATATAATCCTATTGAGTTGCATACATTGTGCAATGTTAAATTAATTAAAAGATTTTTTTTTTTACCATGGATGAATAGTATAGAATTGAATAGAATAGAATTCATTTTTAATCATTTATTAATAAATATTTATATTTAGTCTCATTAATTCTGCTACAAGATGAACAATGGTGATGTGATGATTAAAAAGCTTTGAGAGACATGGTTTCTGGGTAATTTAATCATTTTGTTAAAAAGGCCAGCAGGTTATTAATAAAAGGATGGTCATTTGTCCATCTCTCTTAGATCAAAGACAATCATGGCGGTGGGCTCATAGCTTATATACCCTTTCAATGTGGGGCTGATGTCTCTCATCATCATGTCACCCTTGGACAGAGAAAATATCTCTATACCAGACCACTCCCAGCCTTGGGCTATCTAGACAAAAGGATGGGTCTCTACCCAAGCTTGAGTAGAACACAATGGGCTTCCCCACTTTAGCTTAAATTCCTTGTAAGCTTGGGTGGCGTCTGACTAAGATCAGGAAAATTAAAATAATCTCATTATTAGTAATGTAATTACTAATTAGCAATTAGTAAAATGAGAAATTTAGAAGGGGAGAAACTCTGAATGTCCCCAAGATATTGATTATTAATAATAATTTCTCTCAGTGAAGTCTTAAGGAGTGAGAGTTTTTGAAATAAGCATACTCACAGAATATGCTTTTCATTCAATTTTTATTAAATTTTCAGTTCCAGAGTCTTTCCCTTCCTGCCTCCCCACCCCTTCCTTACTCATTGAGAAGGCAAGATATACAAAACCCCATATAAATATAAATTAATGAAAGATGAATTTCTGTATTAGCCATGTGCTGAAAAAAAAATCAAGAAAAAGAAAAGAAGATTTTAAAATATACTTCAATATACTATACTCTGAGTCCATTAGTTCTCTATTTGGAGGTAGATAATGTTTCATCATGAGTCCTTTGGAATTGGGGTGGGTCATTGCCTTGATCAGATTTTCTAAGTCTTTCACAGTTGATTATCTTTATACTAGTGCTATTACGGTGTAAATTGTCCTCCTGGTTCTGCTCACTTCACTTTGCATCAGTTCATACAAGTCTTCTCAGGTTTTTCTGAAACCATCCCCTTTATCATTTCTTATAACATACTAGTTTTTCATTACTGGTTTCTAAACTTTTAAATAAAATTTTATTATATGTAAAAACATAAAAAAAACCCAACAACCTTTTGCTCATAGCTGTGCACAGTCAGACCCAATGGATTTAGCCCTTGGGTAGGTCATAGTTTGTCAACCCCTGTCATACAAGGTTATATAGACTATCATGTTATATAGACTATCAGTCTGGACTAGGGTGGCATCCTAAGCTCTGCTCTGTAAACAATTCCAAACCACTTACCATTCTCAGGAAGTACAAGGAATAAAAAGATCACTGAAGTTGTAGCTAGATTGTTTTCTTCTTTTCCTACTTCAGACGAGTTCTGAGAATTGGCCCAGTAGGTAGTGGTGGGGCAGAGTGGGTCAGTAAGTAGACTCATTGCTAAATTCTCTTAATTGACTAGGATTGTATTCCACAGATAGGGAAACTTTCATTCCTGAGTGATTTGTGAGAGCCTTCTCATCAGCTCTGAACTAGTGACTTATTGTGGGCAAATAGGTGGGTGGGTGGCTGTTGTCAAGGCTTCTGAGCCTGTGAGGATTGGTTGGACTGGGTCCCAACCCAACAACTCTTTGGGTGCTGTCTGTTCTCTTCCAGTTCAGCTCAGTTTGCCATCCAGCATGCATATCATCGGAGGATTACCCCAGGTCTACACAGCTGCCCAGCTGCACTTTCACTGGGGTGGAGAATTCCATGGCTCAGAGCACCTCATCAATGGAGTTCAGTTTGACAGTGAGGTATACAACTGGAATTTATTTTATAAATATTCCTTCCCATTAGAATCGAGTCTGATGATGGGGTAAACATTGGAAATTTGGTAGTCAGGCAAGTTAAAGCAAAGCAGGTGTTTTACCTAATAGGCTTATATTCCAATTATCCTGGGTTTGAATTGATCTTTAGCAAAGCCTGATCATATGTGAATCTTTGTGAGCCCTAGCTCACAAAGAGCTAGATGGCTCAGTGGTAATCTGGAAAGTGGCGTTTCAGTCAAGTAGTGAGGTTGCAAGCTAGATTGCAAGGGACTTCAGAGAAGTGAGTGGGAGATGAAGATGGAAGGTCATCAAGTATAAATTACTTTTCCTAGGAGTTTGGCTATGAAAGAGAGTAGAGTTATAGGATGATAGCTTGAGGAGATGGCAGGGTCAAGTGAAGAATGGTTTATTTGTTGTTTGTTTGTTTTTTATAAATAGTATTTTATTTTTTTCAATTTCTTGTGAAGATAGTTTTTAACATTCATTTTTAAGAAGATTTTGAGCTTCAATTTTTTTTTCTTCTTACCTCCCTCCCTTTGCCCCTCCTCAAGATGGCAAACAATCTGACGTAGGTTATACATGTGCAATCATGCTAAACATATTTCCACATTAGTCATGCTGTGAAAGAAGAAACAGAACAAAAGGTAAAACCGAAAAAAACAAAAACTAAAAACTAAAAAAAAAAGCAAAAATAGATGCTCCAATCTGAATTCAGATCCATAGTTCTTTCTCTGGATGTGGATAGCATTTTCCATCATGAGTCTTCTGGAATTGTCTTGGGTCATTGTATTGCTGAGAAGAGCTAAGTCAATCATAGTTGATCAGTGCACAATGTTGCTGGTGCTGTGTACAACATTCTTCCGGTTCTGCTCATGTGAAGAATATGGATGGAGGAGATCTGGGCATATTTGTAGGCAGTAGGGAAAGAGCCAGTAGATAATGAAGGAGACAGGAGAAAAAGGAATTAAGATCACAGGTAGAAGGGTTGGACTTGGCAAACAGCAGGTTATGTCTTTTTCAAAGGAGCAGAGAATGGATGAAGACTGATATAGATATAGATAGAGAGTGGTTTTGAGATATGGAGTATAGAAGAAGAGGAAGTCCCTATAAGTAGTCTTGATTTTCCTCAATAAGGTAGGAAATAAAGTCCTTTGCTAAGAGGAAATGGGGGAGTAAGTACAGAATGGCACAGAAGGCCTGAGGAAAATGGAGGTCTAGAATAGCTGTTGTGGAGAATGTAATAATGAATTAGAGAAGAATGAAGGATTGTGCTGCATAAATCATGGCCCAGTGGAGATTAGATAATAGACATTTCCAGCAAACCCAGTCAACTTGCTTCTGTGACTTGCTTTAGTCACATTTGGCAATAGCAGAGTGGCAGCAGAGAAGGGGGGCGCATGGGTAAACCAGGGTTGAGGTTTGTCAAGTTTCATGTACCGATAGGACAAAGGGCAAGGGTTTCAAGGGTAGAGGACAGAGCCCAGTCAAAATGACCTCCATGAGATTAAGTTTATAAGAGCTGAAGAAAGTGAGGTGATAGGGGGTGATGGACTAGAAGAACAGGAAGGGGTGGAGGAACTAGAAGTCACAATGAAGATGAAGAATAATTTTAGGAAGAATAAGGCAGAGGGAGATGAAAGAATAGAAACTCAAGAACTCTGTGTCAAGGAGACTGTACAGTTATGGGTGACAAGATTTAAGTTATGACCATCCCTGTGGATGGTTAATGAAAAGCAAAGAAATAGGTCATGAAAGTTAAGGAATCAGGAAGATCTGAGTTCAAATCCTGCCTTAGACATGTACTGGCTGGGTTTCCCTGAGCAAGTCTCTTGGCCTCTTTATGACTCCTTTATGAATCAAAATGAGAGAGGTGGTTTCAGTGATCTCTAAGGTCCCTTCAGTCTCTAAATCTATGATCCTATGAACTGGGAAGGCAGAGTGTTTGAGAGGACATCAATTGGTATGTTGAAATCTCCAAGTATGAGGGCAAGGATTAGACAGAAGAGGAAGCCTGTAAAGTAAGTGCTGAACTCCTTATATTGGAGGGCCTTGAGGGTTGATCTATTACCATATTAAAAGCATAGATGGGGTGCCATCCATGTCTAGAATGAAACTCAAAGAGAAAGTTGAGTGGTGGTGGCAGAGGGAAGGCTTGGAAATAGCCAGGAGCAGTAAGGAGTGTGCCTGTCTCTCCTGGCCCAGTAATGTTAGCAAACATGAGAAAAAGAGCCCCCAGTCCTGGAATGTGTGCCCACAAGTTTGATCTCTTCTAGAGAAAACCAAGTTTTGTGAGCACAAGAAAATGGAAAGAACATGGGCCAATACCACTACTAGGTCTATACCCCAAAGAGATCAAAGGAAGAGGAAGAGGATCTATATGTAAAAAATACTTATAGCAGATTTTTTTTTTGTTGGCAAAGAAACTAGAAATTGAGGAGATTTCCATCAACTGGGGAATGACTCAACAAGTTATAGTAAATGAATGTGACAGAATACTATTGTGCTGTAAGAAATGGCAAAGGGGATGGTTTCAGAAAAACCTGGGAAGACTTGTATGAACTGCCACAAAGTGAAGTGAGTAGAATCAGAAGAACAATTAATACAATAACAACAGTACTGTAAAGGCAATCACCTTAGAAATTCTGATCAACACAATGATCAACTACAATTCCAAAGAACTCATGAGAAAACATGTTATATACCTCCAGGTAGAGAGCTGATAGACCCAGAGTGCAGATTAAAGTATATTACTTTTCTTCCTTCCTTTTTTTGGGGGGGGAGGGAAGGAGACATGGCTAATGCAGAAATTATTTTGCATGACTATACATATTTCTAAGGGGTTTTTTCTTTATATTGACTTAATGGGTAGGGAAGGTGAAGGAAGAACAGCATTTGGAAATGAAAATAAATTAAAACAATTTAAAAAAAAAGAATATGGGAAGAAAGGGTGAAGAATTCTAGAGCACCTAGAAGGGAGTAAAGTGTAAGAAGACTGGAAAGGTTCCAGAAAGACTGGAAGAGGATAATAATAGCCAGCATTGCCATAACATTTTTAAAAATTTTTAAAAATTTTTATTTAATTTTTTATTGCCATAACATTATAAAGTCTGCAAGGTGTTTTATATAATCTTATCTCTTTTGATCCTCCTAACAATTATGGGCAGCTAGGTGACACAGTGGATAGAGCTTTGGGCCTAGAGTCAAGAAAACTCATCTTCCCGAGTTCACATCTTAGACTTTTACTAGCTGTGTGACCCTTGGCAAGTCACTTAACCCTGTTTGCCTCGGTTTCCTCATCTATGAAATGAGCTGAAGAAGGAATGGCAAACCACTGTAGTGCCTTTGCCAAGCAAACCCTGAATGGGGTCACAAAGAGTCAGACACGACTGAACAAAAAACACTGATCCTTCAAATTGCTCTACAGAGGCATTGATTTCCCTAGGAGGCATCAGTTCCATGTGACTTTTCCCTGGCACATAGTTTTTAAAGGCACATAGACTGTAAAGTAGGAGTTCTTAGCTTGGGATATGTGAATTAAAAAAAAATTGTAACTGTATTTCAATATCATTGGTTTCCTTACAATCCTCCATAGTTTATTTTATGCATTTAATGAAAACATTAGTCTGAGAAGGGTCCATAGGTATCACCAGACTACCAAAGGGTCCTTGACACCCCAAATTTTTGGAACGCCTGCTTTAAATGCACATTACCCATTATTATAATTTTCCTTCTGTTCTTTGGTTGTCTGGGATAGTGGTCTTCAAAGCAGGGGGTGTAGCCATTGGAAACTCAAGGGGCCCATAGATTGACCTTAAGTTGTGCGATCAACTAATTAGATGGTTGCTCAAGGCAGGAGGGACAGCTATCACAAAGTCTGATTCCTGGAAGTTGTTTTTGACTGTGTCCTTTTTTAATTTTTGGACTTACGCTACCTAACATATTTTTGAATATGTTGAACTGAATTAGCATCTTACCTGGGGGGAGGAGGCAGGGAACATTAGGAAAGGGCTTCCATGGTATCTCCCCAATGACTGTTGCATCATATTCTTGCAGGGGACCCTGGAGTTCAGATGAGAGAAGCCTTGTTTCAGGCTTCTGTGGTTTTTCCTTTAGAGGAACATCTAGATATCATCTTGACCTTTGCTCTGTCCCCACAGCTACACATTGTACACTACAATTCTGAGAAATATGGCAGCTTTGATGAAGCCCAAACCAAGCCTGATGGTTTATCTGTGGTCACAGTCCTCATTCAGGTAAGCCAAAGCTCTTCATTTTTACCATGGCTGGGTTCAGATGGCTCGCTTAGAACCTGGAAAGAGCTCTTCCTTTCCATTCCTGTTCATTGTGTTTGGGATAGAACTATCTTACATTCCCTAGAAGCTCAGACCCTGCTGTGGGGTCATTTCTGTACCCAGTCCCTGCTCACCATCACTAGCTCACCCCTAATTATCTATTTCAGGGCACCACAGGTTCCCCCAAAATTTCATATCAGCTTTGACTTATGTTTGAAGGGCAGAATTAGCAAAACCTAGACACAATGGTGATAATTCCAATACAATCTAAAGGCAAGGGTTAAGCATGAAAACTTTGTTAGAAAGATTAGCCATTTTCTCATGTTCCCAGTGTATATAAAGGGGGAAAGTGGAAAAAGCATTTATTAAACTCCTACTATGTGACACTTACAAATATTATCTCATTTCATTTTCACAACAACCTTGAGAGGCAGGTGCTGCTAATTATCTCTATTTCACAGTGGAGAAAACTGAGACAGATGGAGGCTAAGGGGCTTTCCCATAGTCACACAACTGGGAAGTGTTTGAAGCTGGATTTGAACTCAAGTGTTTCCTGACTCTAGGTCCAGTGCTCTATTATGACACCACTTAGCTAACTCTAGTCCTGTGTATGATATGTGTGGGCTATGGAGGTGAAAGTGGGGGGTTCCCCAACACCATTGATGACCATTCATGTTTTTTCTCCATTGGCCCCCCCCCCCCATCAACGGAGTTCTCTTATAATGCTTTGGAATTGAGGCTATCTCTTTTACACCTTGGTGACATCTCTCCAATCCCCAACCTCCTCACCACTGAAGGCCCTGGAATGAAGCAAGGAGAGCAAATAACAAATTATATCATTAGGGGAAGGAAATAAGCATTTATTAAGCTCCTACTCTATGCCAAGCACTGTGCTAAGTGCTTTACAAAGATTATCTCATTTGATCCTCACAACCACCCTGTGAGGTAGGTGCTTTTATTTCCCCCACTCTGAGGCAGACAGAGATGAAGTGACTTGCCTAGGGTCACAGAGCTAGGAAGTGTCTGATGCTGATTTTGAATTCAGGTTTTCCTAACTCCAGGCTCAGTACTCTGTGCACTATGGTGCCACATAGCTGCCTCTAGGGGAAAGAGTCAAACATGCCATGCATAATATTGCTTAAAACAAGCTACGTTAGTACCACTTAATAATCACTTATGGCTATTCTCCTTAGAGCAGGAGATCTAAAAGGGAATCTTTGGTCATTTAATAACCCCTCCTCCCACCTTCCCATCACTCTGAGAGGTAAGGCCAGAGGTGGGGAGGTGGGGAGAGCCTTGTAGTCCAAATCTTGCTTTGGCTACTTAGTAGCCATATGATCTTGGCCAAGTCAATGTACTTCTTCAATTATCTATAAACCAAAGATATACAAAGGATCAGATGAGACAATGCCTGTGAATCATTTTGTAGCTATAAAGTGCTTTGTGAAAGCTTTTTTTTTTTAGATAATTTTTTGTTGGTATTTTCTGTTTCTTACATAACCTTCCCCTACCTGGAGAGCCAAACAATATAACAAATGGGAATTTTTTTTTTTTAGAGAGGGGAAATGTGTTAGTGCAACTAATCAATACATTGAAAAAGCACCCAAACCTTTGCAATGTGTAGCAACCCTTGTAGACCTCCCACCTCCAACAAGAGCTAGGCTGGGGGAGTCTTCTTATATCTTTCCACTCGAATCCTGCTTGATCTTTATAACTTTGTTACATTTCCTTTTGACTTTTTGGAGCGTCATTGTTCTTTCCATTTACATTGTTGCAGTTGCTGCACATACAGTTTCCTTGGTTCTGCTTGCTTCATTCTTCTTCAATTCATATGGATCTTTTCATGCTTCTCTGTGTTCATCACATTGTTAGCTTTTTAAAATTTTATTTATTTATTTATTGTCCACATCTCTCATTTCACTAGTGTAACGAATTCTTTTTAAGGAAACTCTGCCCATCAGTTCAAATCAGCAACTGGTCTGAAACTGATGATGTAGTAGATAGAGGGCAGGTCTGGAGCCTGGAAGATGAATTCAAGTTGTCTCTGGGGTTAGCTAGGTGGCCCAATGAACAGAGCACTGGCCCTGGAGTCAGGAGGACCTGAGTTCAAATCCAGATTCAGATACTTGCTAGCTATATGACCCTGGACAAGTCACTTAACCTTGATTGACTCAAAGAAAAAAAAAATGTCTCTGACATATATTGGGCAGGTCCAGGCACTTAGATCTCTCTAAGACTTTAAGCCAGTGGTGTGCTGTTAAAGGTTTTAACTACCAGCTCTTGGGGATAGGGTGAGGGGATGTGTGAAGGATGCATTTTTAAACTTAGCCTACACTATTAACATTTTCTCCATCATTTTCTTAAGTCTAGACAATCAACAAAACAATGAAGTGCTGATACAGAGCCTTTGCCAATTTCTGAGGGCATAAATGATCATATTGAAAATTTAACAAGTGCCTTTCCCAAGACTCCACAAACCCTTTCTTTAAGTTATTCTTATTTAGAACTAAAAGAACTTTTCCTGGGAAGATCCCGAAGGGCTCCATGAGCATTGTCCCTATTTAGCAATGAGCAAACTGAACCAGCTTGAGATCTCCAAGTGAAACTCTCCTCATCATCTGCTTTTCCACACTTCTTCCCAGAGAGGCCACCTAGAACAGTGCAAAGAGGGCTGGACATGGAGTCAGGACAGGCCTAAGCTTGATTCACTTTATAGCTGAGTGTCCATGGGTCAATTTCTTAACTTCTCTGAGCCTCAGTTTTCCCATCTGTGAAAGGGAGATGATAAAACCCAAACCACCCACTTCCCAAATGAGATGTTGGTGAAGTGCTCCATTGTCAGCTATTATTATTATTCCCTCTTCTTTACCATTCTATACTGCCATTGTACTCCCTCAATATTCTGCTTTTTTCCTATAGGCTAAGAAAGGTCCAGACAATATTTATTACGAGAAGCTTTTTTCCCATTTGTCTGAGATCCAAAATGTAGGTAAGTCAACACAGCACCAGGGGAAGAGAAATTAGCCCAAGGGACACATCAAAGGGAGGAGAGAAGAAGCAGGCAGACAGTTTGGAAATAAGGACCCTTCTGGGGGCACCCCGATTTTGGAGGCCAGGTTTCTCTTGCTGCACATTTGCTCTTCAGGGGGGGCCCTTGGAAGGATTTGTCTGTAAACTTTCCTTATGGTGAATGGCTGTGTTTGGGGAGTTCTGGTGCATAAGTCCCAGGATCATGACAGAAACAAATATTGTGCAGAGGTAAAAAATGGAAAATTTGGCATCAGGGGATTTGAATTATGTTTGAGAACTGATTTTCTTAAGAACTCAAAATAGTTGACTATTCTTCCTGTGGGGGATAGGGTGGGAAGATGACAGAAGGAGGGTGGTTTTAATGGTTCCTTACAACATCCCAGTGATAATCTTTGGATGGACCAGGAGCATTTTCCCATTTAACTTTACTGGAAGATAGATCAGGGATAGAGTTTTTACACAACGTAGTAAGTCCAGTCAGAGCCACAATTCAGCCTCATGACCACATCTGTGTGGTTTCCCCAACCCCAGGGCCATATTGGCCAGCCATCTATGCTTGCCACAGATCTACTGAGTGACTCAACCTCTCTCATTTCCTATCTCTCTTTTAGGGGAGAATGTAACTCTGAACTCCATCGACGTTGAGCACATGTTGCCCCATGACTTCTCAAATTTCTACCGATATCAAGGCTCATTGACCACTCCCCCCTGCACTGAGAATGTCATATGGACTGTTTTGGTAGAACCTGCCACCATTTCTACAGCACAGGTAAACATTTGCGCCTCTGTTATTATCCTTGACAAGCTTCCACTGATGGCTTTGGAGATTGTAAGGAATTAATTCAGCTGCTCCACTCTGTCCCCTGGTTTCTCCTGATGTTTGTTTCATTCAATTAATCAGAAAGCACTCATTAAATGCCTACCATATGCCAAGCACAGTGCTAAACACTGAGAGTACAAAGCAAGGCAAAAGCAGTCTCAGCTTATCAATACTTGATAGAGTGCCTGGCAAATAGTAAAACCTTGTTGACTGCCCTCAGGGAGCTCACAGTCTAGTGGAGGACACAACATGTAAATGATTCTGTACAGACAAGATATATACAGAGAAGGGCTATGAAACTGGGCATATCCTTTGACGCAGCTATACCACTCCTAGGTCTGTATCCCATAGAGACCAAAGGAAAAGGTAAAGGATCTATTTGCACAAAAATATTTATAGCAGATTTTTTGTGGTGATAAAGAATTGAAAATTGAGAAGATGTCCATAAATTGGGGAATGGCTGAACAAGTTGTGATATATGATTGTGATGGAATACTATTGTGCTATAAGAAATGAGGAGCAGTATGATTTCAGAAAAACCTGGGAAGACTTACATGAACTGATGAAGAGTGAAGTGATCAGAACCAGTAGAACATTGTATACAGTAATAGCAATACTGTACAGTGATCAACTGTGAATGACTTAACTATCCTTTTTATTTTGTTTTATTCATTTATTTATTTGTTTTTATGACTTAGCTATTCTTAGCAATATAATGATACAAAAGAATTCCAAAAGACTTATGGTGAAAAATGCTATCTGACTCCAGAGAAGTAACTGATGGAAGAGTCTGAATGCAAATTGAAGTGTACCATTTTTTGTTTTCTTTAATATTTTTATGTTTTTTCAATTGCATTTTCTTTTGCAACCTGGCTAATATGGAATTTTTTGCATGACTAGACATATATAATCTATATCAAATCACTTGCCTTCCCAAGGAGAGGGGAGGGGAAGGAGAGAGGGTATAGATCTAGTGTGGTATTGCTGGGTCAAAGAGTATGCACAGTTTTATAGCCCCTTGGGCATAGTTCCAAATTGTTTGCCAGAATGGCTGGGCTAATTCAAAACCCCACGAACAGTACATCAGTGTCCCTATTTTTCCACACACCTTCCAGGATTTGTCATTTGCCTTTTCTGTAATGTTAGCTAATCTGATAGGTATGAGGTGGTACTTCAGAGTTGTTTCATTTGCTTGTTGATAGCTTTGATTTCTTCTGAAAACTGCTTGTTCATATCTTTTCACCATTTATCAATTGAGGAATGTCTTATTTCTATAAATTTAGATTGGGTTCCCTATATATTTGAGAAATGAGACCTTTATTAGAGAAACTTGTAAATTTTTTTCTCCTAGTTTTCCTTCTAATTTTGGCTGCATTGCTTTTGTTTGTGCAAACCTTTTCTGAATTAATATAATACAAATTAATCATCTTACCTTTTATGATCCTCTCCATCTCTTGTTTGGTCATGAACTCTTCCTTTATCCATAGATCTAACAGTAATTTTTTTCTATGCTCTCCTAATTTGCTTATGATATCACCATTTATGTCTCAATCATGTCCCCTTTTTGAGCTTTTCTTGGCATCTAGTATACAATATTGGTCTATGCCTAATTTTTGCCAGACTACTTCCCAGTTTTCCGGGCAGTTTTTGTCAAATATTGAATTCTTGTCCCAAAAGGTTGGATCTTTGAGTTTATCAAAGACTAGGTTACTGTGGCCTTTTACTTCTGCATACTGTGTATCTAATCTATTCCATTGATTTAGCTACACTATTTCTTATCTAGTATCAGATTGTTCTGATAATTGCTACTATGTGATTTGTAGCTTGAGATCTGGTACCACTAAGCTATTTTCTTTCACTTTCCCCCCCATTGATTCCCTTGATATTCTTGACCTTTTGTTCCTCCAAATGAATGTTGTTATTGTTTTTCCTAGCTTTATAAAATAATTCTTTGGTAACCTGACTGGTATGGGACTGAATGAGTGAATTAATTTAGGTAGAATTGTTATTTTTATTGTGTTGCCTCAGCTTACCCATGAGCAGCAGTTAATTTTTCTCTGATTATTTAGATCTGTCTTTATTTGTATGAAGTGTTTTGTAATTGTGTTCATATAGTTCCTCTGTGTGTTTTCCTAGATAGACTTTCAAGTATTTTATGCTACATTCAATTATTTTAAATGGAATTTCTCTATTTCTTCCTGCTGATTTTGTTGGTAACATGCAGAAATGTTGATGATTTATGGGGTTTTATTTTATATCCTACAACTTGGCCAAAGTTGTTAATTGTTTCAACTAACTTTTAAGTTGATTATCTATGGTTCTAAGTATATCATCTGGTTTCTAAAATTCTTTCCTCTATTAAGAATCATGGCGACACAGCACAGCCCAGACCCTCAAAGCAAGTGGGTGGATGGTAAAATTTCTAAAACTTTGCTCATGGCAATTAGAGATTGTCTAGTGGTCTTTTGAAACCTAAGACAAATATTAGCACCAGCAATTGTGATTTGGGAAAGACTGCCCTGCAGGCCAGAGATTTAAAAAAATTTTTAAAAAATGCAAGACCATGGGAGCTAGGCCAAGCTGGCTTAATGGATGGTTGATTGGGAAGGTGGGTCAGGGGATATCAAAGAGAGTATTGTAAAGAAATGGCCTATCTTCCTTGAAGAATGGTACCTACCTCCTGGCAGGGAGATGATAGGCTAATATATAGGATGAGACACTTTTTTGGACATGACCCAATATGGGAATTTGTTTTTCTTGACTATGCTTATTTTTTTTTGTAAGGGTTTTATTTTATTTTTTTCCACTGAGGATGAGTGGGAGAGACAAAGAAATATTTGATCATTGGAAAAAATTAATTTACTAAAAAAACAAACAAACCAGAAATGGCCTACATTAAAGGTATAAGGATTTACTTCTTCTAGGTTGCTAACAATCCTATATCTGGCTCAGTAACAAGGTCCCAATTCCAGCCTGGAAGCTAACTAGCCCTTTAGCTTTCACTTCCCCTACATAATGAACATCTCCTGTGTTACCTGCAGCTGGAGAAGCTACAGAACTCAATCATGAATAGTAATCATCAGATACTTCAAAATAACTTCCGGGAGGTTAAGCCCCTCAACCAAAGGAGAGTGGAAGCCAATTTCTCACCTAAAAAAGGAAAAGGTCAGTGAAAGCCAGAACCTCTATGTCAGTCCTTGGCAATGGAGTTTTCTTTCTTGGAATTTATTGGTCATTAGGTACATTAGAGTGTTGGCCATAGTGTATCATACTGATAGTACAAGAGGCCTTATTCTCAGATCCTGGCAGTCCTTGACCCCCAGTTCAGACATAGTGAACAGGTGTCTAAGAAAAGTAACATAAAATTCTAGATGGAGGAGGGGCACTGTTATACTATGTAATCAAGAGAATTGTCTTGAAATGGGGGTATATAGAAAGGTTTCAGGGCTTCCTATGACCTAATAATAACAATAAATTAAATTAATCAATATCAATTAATAAATTAAATAATAATAGCAATATTATTAGGTTGCAGGAGGCACTGAAATAACTTGTAATTAATAAAAATTATTAAAAATAATAATCATGATCATAGCTAGCATTTGTCTTGTACTTTAAGGTTTTCAAAATGCCTCATATATGTTATCTCATTTGATTCTTGTAACAAGCCTGTGGGGTAGGTGTTATTATTATCCCCATTTTACAGATGAAGAAATTGAGGTTGAGAAAGATTAAGTGACTTGCCCAGGGTCAAAAAGGTAGTATCTGAGGCAATATTTGATCTTATCTTCCTGATTCCTTATATCAGTGGTCATTCGGTATTAATTAAGCTCCTGCAATTTGTCAGGCATTGTGTAAAGTGATGGGGATACAAAGAAAGGGGAAAGACAGTCCCTGCCTCAAGGATGTCACAGTCTAATGGGGGAGGCGGGGGGCGGGTGGAGAGACAGCATGCAAACAACCATGTACAGAAAGGATGGATGAGGCAAATTGGAGATTTGTCAACAGAGGGAAAACACTCACATTAAGGGTGATTAGCAAATACTTCTTGTAGAAGTTTTTTAGCTGGGACTTTAAAATCTACAAACTTCTTTGGTTGTTCTCATCGCTAAAATTTTTTTGAGTGCATCCCCAATATAGAAATACTTATTTGCAAGTTATATACATGTGCATGCTAATAATTATAAACATTATAAAACTTAGAGATAAAGAATAAGACATGGATGAAATAATCTTTTATCCTAGAACTTCTAGGAAGCCACTGTTGTTTATTGAGTAGAATAGTGACATGGTCAGATCGCTGTTTAAGGAAATGACCTTGGCAGCTGAGCGAGAAGGGAACGCAAAGAAGAGATGAGGCAGGGAGACTAAATAGGATATTGCAATAGTCTGAGGCAAGAGGTGATGAGGTTGGAAGTAAGGCGGGAGCCCTGTGAGTGGTGATAAAGGGTGTGTATGAGAGATATGAATGTAAAAAAAGACAATGTTGGCATCGGAGTGGATTTGTGGGGTGGATGAGGAGTTAAGGGTGATATCGAAGTTGTAAGCAAGGATGCTTGAGATGATGGTGCTGCCCTAGGCAGTAATAGAAGAGTTTGGAAGGGGATGATTTGGTGGAAAGGGGAAGATATCACATAATGAGATATGTGGTGCAGACTACAAACCACTTACATCTGCTCATTCTCTTCAACACACTTGGTCCTGATGAAAAGGAAAAGAGTCACAGTTCCGGTCCAAGCCCAAGTTCAAGACTGCCAAGAGGTGGCAGTGTAGTGTCAACTGAAACGCAGAAGCCTGGAGACGAGCTGGGTGAATGGCAAGGTTGAAGGGAAGGCCAGGGTGTGGGTGTGCCTTGGGAGGTGAGGTGTTCCCAACAGTGTCAGTGGAAGTGACAGTCCATGGGTCTGGGTTGAAGTTAAGCTATAACTGCCCAAGGGACCAGAAGGGGAAAGATTGGGATCAAGGACAGCTCAGGGAGAGGGAGGAGTTGGAGTGTGTATTTGGAGATAATGGGTGATTGGTGGAATAGGTAGACAAGTCCTCCCCACTGCCCCTGCTATTGTGGGAACAGTGGTTTGCAGCCATCTTTCCACTCTCCTTCTCACTGGTTGATGATGAAGTAAAGCCTTATGTCCCCTCCAAAATGATTAGGATCATTTTCTGGGAGAGGGAAATTTCATCTCTTTGCCAAGAAAGGCCCTCAGTGTGTTGAAAGTCCCTTGATAAATGACTGGTTTTTTTTCTAGAATGTTCTGAAGGTAACAGAGGTGGTGTTCTAAAGAAAAAAAGCCACTCAAGATACTTTTCTACAGTTCAAAAATGGCATGAAAGAGGCAATCCTTATCAGAAATAAAAAGAAGCAGTGTAGATAAACATCATCAGCCTCCAGCTTACACCACAAGCTAGAAGATGCCAGTTCACCATTTCCTTCACCATAAAAACATTCCTTGCCCTGGATCCTTACTTGGTTGCTCCCTTATCTATGCAAAGCTCCTTTTTGGATTACTAACCTTGTGCATTTTCCAGATACCTTAGTGGAACTGCTATTGCTGAAATGATCAGATGATGGAATTAAATTATGCCTGGAGGGATTTAATACAGATAGAACTGATGATAGAAATGGAAATCAATTACTTTGTGAATATTGATTTTTTACTGTTAATATCTGCTTTGATGGATATTAACTCTCAACCAATCTGCCCTTTTATGCATTGCGATATAATAAAATTATGATGCTTAAAAGTTGTCCCTTTATATATGTTTTTTCTTCTTTCTCTTTTTCTCAGATGTTGTACTCCTTGGGATACACTCAGGGACAAAACAGGAAAGAAATGAAAGGAAGGAGAAAGAGGAGAGAGTGGGTATAAGACTAAGGGAAGGTGCAGCTAGGTGGCGCAGTGGATAGAGCACCAGCCCTGAAGTCAGGAGGACCTGAGTTCAAATCCGGCCTCAGACCAAACACTCGACACTTACTAGCTGTGTGACCCTGGGCAAGTCACTTAACCCCAATTGCCTAAAAAAAAACCCACAACAAAAAAAAAACAAAAAAAGAATAATATAAGAGTAAGGGAAGTGAAAGATAGGGATACTAGAGATGGACATCAACAATTCGTACAACATTTTACAACCATACTTTCCAACCTCTACAAAGAAAAGAGGGAGGTATATTTATTCAACTCTTCTCCAGGACCAAGTTTCTTTCTTAGTCATTAGAGTTACACTACATTTTTGTTGTTCTTCTTTCTGTTTACATTGGTGTAGTCATCATGTATGTTGTTTTCCTGGTTCTGCTGACTTCATTCTGCATTTGTTCATATAAGTCTTCTCAAGTTTCTCTAAATTCTTCCTATTCATCATTTCATATGGTACAACAGTATCCATTAGGTTCAAGTACCACAATTTGTTTAGCCATTCCCCCAATCAATTGCCATTTGATTTTCTGCAGTGTTTCTATTTTCTATTATTTGGATCACTCCCTTGGCACTTAGCATATGTCTATCTGGTGTTGAAAAGGAAGAGAGAATAAATGAAAGAGATAAAATAGAAGGTATTCAGAGAAGGAAGAAATATCTGCTGATTGAAGCCTGGAATGACTAGGAAAGGATTTGGGGATGAAGTTTGAAGGAAAGGAACCACATGTCTATGGTCACAGTTGGAACAGACTTCTTGTCCTTGATTAATTCAAGGAGGTATCCAGGACTTGTTCACACCTAGTGAACAACTGATGTGTTTCAACCTGATAAATGTATCAGGGCTTAGCATCTTGACACTTTATTAATTTATTTTGGCTAGGCAATGGGGTTAAGTGACTTGCCCAGGGTCACACAGCTAGTGAGTGTTATATGTCTGAGGCCAGATTTGAACTCAGGTCCTCCTGACTCCACGGCTGGTGCTCTATCCACTGTGCAACCTAGCTGCCCCTTGACCTTTACTTTAAATGGGGTGGAAGTGATATGATTGATCTATTCAATCTACCCAGCACCCCTTACAGAATTATAATACAGAATTGAACAAGGTCATCCCCATTCCCTTCATCTTTCCTTCAGGATCCTTCTTATCTTTCTATCCTCCCATTATTATACACATACATTCTCTCTTTCATATTGATAGTTCTCATTTGCTTTCATCTTTTCTCCTTCTAGTATCAGAGTTTTTTCTATGAAGTCTTTCCTTCTACATCTAGATATTAACAAATCAATGAAAATAAAACTTTCTTTAGCACTTAAACTTTAGCTCTTCTAAATTTTGGATGTTAATCATTGTGGGACACACTGATTGGCAACTGGTGTTATCCCTGCCCTTAAGGGGCTTATAATTTAGTTGGGGAGAATGGATAAATCCATAAATGATAACTAACAGCACCAGGTAGGCATATGTTATGTGCATCTCTCAGCCCATAGATGGTAGGGGATTCAGACAACTATTCACAAGGAGATTACAAGGGACCCTTTGCTGGCTTTGGGCACAGGATTCTGTTGCATTGCCCATATAGTTCCAGGTCATAGTCCCATGAAGAGGACCCACTAGCCCATAAGCATTTGCAGCAGCAGAGATACTTGGTCACAGGATGCCTGGTCACAGTTCCAGCATGAAGAAGAGTGCTTTCGGTCATTCACAGATCAGAGAATTGTTCAGGAGAGCAGCAACTACATGTCTCCTTAGATACACTACCTTGGAAGGACCCAAAACTTCCAGACCTCCAGAATTAGCTGTGAAAATAGTACCACAAAGCTGAAACTTGGGATAGTGCCCCCTCCACTCCATGAGCAGAGAGCTACTTTAACAAAAAGTTATAAGTCAAGTAATAGGCTGGAAAAATGAGCAAACAACAACAACAACAAAAGAATCTGACCAAAGAAAGTTACTATGGTGACAGGGAGGTTAAAATGCAAACTCAAAAGACTATGAAGTCAAAACAGCCACATACAAAGCTTCAGAGAAAAATGTGAATTGGTCATAGGCCCTAAAAGAATTACTGGAAGAACTCTTAAAAACTTTTAAAAATAAAATGAGGGATAGAAGAAAAATTGGGAAAAGAAATGAGAATAACAAAAGAAAATCATGAAAAGAGAGTCAACATCTTGGTAAAAGAGGTACACACACACACACACACACACACAAACCTGAAAAAAAATAACACCTTAAAAAACAGAATTTTCCAAATGAAAAAGAAGGTACAAAAGCTCACTGAAGAAAATAATTCCTTAAAAAGTAGAATTGGGCAAGTGGAAGCTAATGATTCCACAAGACATCAAGAAACAATAAAATTAAATTTAAAAAATGAAAAATAGAAGAAAATGTGAAATATTTCATTGGAAAAATGACCATCTTAGAAGATAGCTTGAGGAGAGATAATTTAAGAAATATTAAACTACTTGAATGCCATGATAAAAAAAGAGCCTAGACATGATATTTCAAGAAATTATCAAGGAAAACTCATCTGATATCCTAGAACCAAAGGGTAAAATAGAAATTGAAAGAATCCATCAATTGCCTTCTGAAAAAGATCCCAAAATGAAAACATTCAGGAATATTATTGCCAAATTCTAGAGCTCCCAGGTTAGGGAGAAAATATTGCAAGTAGCCAGAAAGAAACAATTCAAATATTATGGAGCCACAGTCAGGATAACACAGGATTTAGCAGCTTTTACATTAAATGATTGGAGGACTTGGAATGTGAAAGTCTGGAGGGTAAAGAAGCTAGGATTACAACGAAGAATCATCTACCTAGCAAAATTGAGTATAATCCTTCAGGGGGAAAATTGACATTCAGTGAAATAGAGGACTTTTAAGCATTACTGATGAAAAGACCCAGAGCTGAATAAAAAAAAAATTTGACTTTCAAATACAAAATGCAAGAGAAGCATAGAGAGAAAACAGGAAAGAGAAATCATAAGGGATTCAATAAGGTTAAACTGTTTCCATTCCTATATGGGAAGATGATTTTTGTAACTCCTAAGAACTTTATTATTATTAGGGCAGTTAGAAGAAACTAGATAGATAGATAGATAGAGATAGATAGATATAGATATAAATAGACAGATAGACATAGATATAGGTAGACAGATAGACAGATAGATAGACAGACTATATGTATGTATATAATTTTTAAATTTTCTAATAAATTTATTTATTTTTAGTTTTCAACATTTACTTCCACAAGATTTTGAGTTCCAAATTTTCACCCCATTTCACCCCTCCCCCCACCCCAAGATGGCATGCATTCTGAATACCCCTTCCCCTAATCTGCCTTCCCTTCTATCTCTCCCCTCATTCTCTTATCCCCTTCCCCTTCTATTTTCCTGTAGGGCAGGATAGATTTCTGTACCCCATTTCCTGTATTTCTTATTTTCCAGTTGCATGTGAAAAAAAATTTTTTTTAAACATGTGTTTTTAAAACTTTGGGTTCCAAATTTTCTCCCTTCCTCCCTCCCCACCCACCTTCATTGAAAAGGCAAGCAACTCAATATAGGTTATACATGTGCAGTTATGCAAAACACTTCCATAGTAGACATGCTGTGAAAAACTAACTCTATTTCCCTTAATCCTATCCTGCCCCCCCATTTATTCTATTCTTTCTTTTGACCCTGTCCCTCATCAGAAGTATTTGTTTCTGATTGCCCCTTTTCCCAATCTTCTCTCCTCTCTATCATCCCCCTACTCTCTTGTCCCCTTCCCCTCCCCCATTTTCCTGTAGGGTAAGACAGATTTGCATACCCAATTGAGTGTGTATGTTATTCTCTCCTTAAGTGAAATCCTATGAGAATAAGATTCACTCATTCCCTCTCACCTTCCCCTGACTCCCCTCTACTGTAAGAGCCTTTTCTTTTCTCTTTTTTTGTGAGATAATTTACCCCATTCTACCTCTCCCTTTCTCCTTCTCCTAGTATAATCCTCTCTCGCCCCTTAATGTTATTCTCCAGATCAACTCGCCCTGTGCCCTCTATCTATCTATCTATCTATCTATCTATCTATCTATCTATCTACATACATATAATTTTTTCCCTCCAACTACCCTAATACTGACAAAGAATGCCTAAGAACACTATTATTATTAGGGCAGTTAGAAAAAAAAATATATATATATGTAGACAAAGCACAGGTGTGAGTTGACTATGATGGGAGGACTTAAAAAAATAAAGGAGTGAGGAAGAAGGATGTGCTGGAAGAAGGAAGAAGGGAGAGGTGGACTGGGGTAAATTATGTCATATGAAAGAGGCATGAGAGGAAGAGTTTTTACAATGGAGGGGAAGATGGGGGGCTGGGGTGGCAGGCAATGAACCTTGAATCTTACTGTCATTGGAATTGGCCCAAAAACGA